AACGATGGAAAACTCAAACCGGGGGTATTTCTTTCGACGATCACGGATAAACTAACAACAGTAGATAGCACAGCAAACGAGTTAAAATCACTCAATGATGAATATAACAATCATAAAACTGAATTCAATAAATTGTATGAATTACAAAACTTAGTCGTAGACAAAATCGACAAACATCTGCTAGAATTCCTTGGAAATCCACCAGTAACCACACCGAATATTGCAGAGATAAAAGCATCTATGTTAGAAATTGCAACATTTCAATTAAGATATGAAGAACACGTAAAACAGTTTTCAACATTTCCTAAAAACATTGTTGATAAATTTTTGGGAGGTCCACTTGATAAACTAGATATCAAACTTCCGGATATTAAAAAATCCATCGAAGAAATACCAGCGATTAATCGGCAATTGGAAGCAATCAACACGGATATTACAACGTTCAAAAAAATCTTCCGCTACTTGAAAAAATAAAGATTCCTCATGAGAGGAATATCATAAATATGGTATACACAGTTTTCTCTGGATCATTAGATTGGGAACCTAATAAGAATAAAATAACTCTCACTGTGTCAAACCCGGATATTTATCGATTAACAATAGTGTCACTGAATCAGGTTAATATATCATCATCGACTTCATATGGATACAACAACGTGATTTTAACGACTATTGACGTGGGTGAATACAAACGGTTTACAATAACAAGCACTGATCTTAATTTAAATAAGACATCATTTGTATGGTACATGGAGTTTGTAGCTGATCTGAATTAGAATTTTTAACAATATGTAACCACTTGAGGTTTTAAAATAATATGACTCCGTCATCGCAATATCGCTATGATACCGTCAAAGAGTTTTTAACGAAACTCAAAACACTCATTGATAAGTATGAAATAAAAATTAAAAAATATCGCAGGAGAATTACCGCGATTGATGTTACAGTATACTCGGTGTCTGGTATAATGGCCGGTGCTGGTATTATACTATCTTCATTAACAATGGTAGCTCCGATTGCTGTCCCAATTGCTATTTCCGCGGTGACAACATTTGCTGGAATTGCAAATGCTATTACTAAAAAAATATCATCATGTTCTCAAGAAAAGCTTAACGACTATATAGTAAAACATCCAACAGTATCTAACGGTTACTAACAATTATCCTCGTTGATGTCATCATCGATTGATGATACGATAATTACCGAAGACGAGATCTCCATGATGGTACGTATTTATGATACTGCGATTAAAAACGCTAGCGTTTTTTCATCTATTGCGAAATTAGACATTGTAAATAATAATAATAATAATAATAATAATAATAATAATAATAATAATAATAATAATAATAATAATAATAATAATAATAATAATAATAATAATAATAATAATAATGTCGCAAGAGATTCAACTACTTCAGCGGATAGCAGAAAAAACCACTCCGCGGAAAACAGGCATGATATCAATATCGTCAACAACCCCTGAATTCAGTGTGAATTTCCTTTTTCCCTGTTTCAGTAAAGGAAATCGCGTTGGCAAAATTACGAGTGTATCATAGTTGGCCTAATATTAGATCGGTTCCATTTGGTGGTCAGAGACCTAATAATTCTCTGGTGTTTGCGTATAGGAATAAAAAAGATGACACTCCAGATCAGAACGTTGTTTCAATACCAACTGGGTCCTATCAAATTGAGCAAATTAATAATGAATTACAACGTAGAATAAAATCTATTACTAGAAGGGAATCAAAAATCGCGATAACAGTTCATGAACCAACACACTCATCTACATTTGAGATAAGCTCTCCTGGGTATGTTGTAGATATTTATAACAGTTCAATAAGAACAGTGTTAGGATGGCCCGAAGATCCACCTATAAGTGCTAGCACTTCCACGCCCGAGCCTGTAAAATCTGATTACATCACTGATGAAATAGGACATCAAAATCCATCAAAAACGTATAAAAAATTCGAGGATATAAATTTCAAAAATAGATATCGATATAAGGATCAATATGGTGAGGATGCGTGGATAATTCCACTTTTTAATGATTATATCCCACAGGAAGGTGAAATTTTGGAAACGCATGAAACAAGCCCATCACTCGTAGATATTGAAGATCACATCCTTGATAGAATGAATAATGATTTTCGTTGATATTACCCTCGTTATGATCTGGCCTTTTCACACAAGCTGAATTTACTAGTGTAGTCGCTGCAGGTAATAAAATCATCGATGATATGGAAATATTTAATTCGAGGATTATTAGTGATTTTACCGATGAAAATTCACCCATTTCAAAAACCTTTTCCGCCAAAGAATATAAGAAAAATAAAGGAAAATCCAAATTATAAACTACCGGGATATAACGTACCTGAGTTAAAGAAAAAACTCAGAACTGCCATCGACGAAGGATTTAATAAAATGTATCAATCATGGAAAGATAGCCAGCCGAAGCCTATTATCCTCACTCATAATAATTCTCCCGACGGCGACGGTAGACATATCGCACCGAACAATGTGGACATTTCATCGGTGATCGCGCTTAATTTAACGTGTGATGTAATCGAAGGAAGCTATCAATGAATCTCGAGCAATCAAATCAAGCCAGACAAGGTTACATTCTTTATTCATTTGCACCAACAGCCCCTCCAAGATTTTTAATTGTTGAGAATCCAACAAATTCAGTATATATGCAATGTCAAAATGATGTGCTAACTATAATTAATTTTACACTCACCGATCAGTCAAATAATTTAATTGATCTACGTGATGAAGTATTATCGATTAGTCTGTTTGTGAAAAGCTAACAAATATTCGGTTAAATCATTTGTATTAACTCTGAAATCCTTCCAGCGGGGGGAGGGCTATGACAACAATGATAGCAATTATTGGCAGCAATTTGAGGGTGGTTATGACAACATATTTACGACAAAATCGCTAAGGGTCCATTTGTAAAATGGGGTCTTTATTTTTTTTTTGGTTGAAATATGAGATTTCGTAGGAAGGCTCTATTGGGCATTCTGAGGCTTTAATCGATTTTGTCGCAAAAATTTTTAGGGTTCACCATCCCTGCTGCTAATTCTTATAATTCACGCTACCATGACAGAATGTGTTACAGTCAATATACTAAATTTAGCTTTGACTATACATGAATATAGTAATAGAGCATTATAACGTTGTATTTTGGCATCTGGACAAACAAGTCTGCTCCATTGGTATCTGAAATTGATAGTTTTGTGACAGAAGCTGTGCTTATATAAAGTCATTATGCGGGATTGAAAAGCATGTTTTATCTCAGTTATATTTATTAAAATAAATTTTATAGTCTTTTAAAAATTTAACACCTTTGACATCGACGCATCCTCACGACTGTGCAATTAGATGAGTTTAATTATGGATAAAAAATTTTAAGGTTTACCATATCTTTTTGTAATGCTTTTAATACTTGTTTTGATGTTGCATCTCTAAACCAGTAATGATTCTTTTGCGTACAAGTTCGAGTGGTGGTCAGAAACACAAAGTATTAATGTTAGGCAAATCACTCTTTATAAAGTGTGATACAGAACCAAATATGAACTTAATCTAATGTGAAATTCGCAAAAAAAGCATTTGCAACTTAGGTTTCATTTAGAGAGCAGGTATCAAATTGGTTTTTAACATTGACATGGGTCTGCTTGATACACATGTAGCAATATAAATGTGTTGATTTGCAATTTATAAAATCGACCGTAGGATATTTTGTGTGTAACTTGTGCAGTTTTTGGTACTGAGCTGTTACTTAGACCTTTACAATATAAAACAACGAATCTGATTTGCCTAAAACAAGATGCTTGAGGTTAAAGCATGTGATTTAATTAATAGCAAATGTCAAATGTTATGTGAATGCGACAGAGGAAGAGATAAAATTAAACAATGCTTATTGGTCCATGCACAAGTGCATCTATATTATGACACGCATCACGTGAAAATACTGAAGTTTTCACCCACTCGATATTCTTTATTCACTCGTTCCAAGCAAATACCCTTTGTACCTTTTGGAACCAATAAACGACGAGAAATATTAAAGTTGTCCAGTCATTAAAAATACATTATTACAATTTGAACGAATTAATATTCCATGTTGAAGTCATAAAACATTTAATGAATTTATAGTAATCAGTTTTTTTATGGCATGTTTCCGCTCAGATGTGTTGATGAAATGATTAATTATCATGTAATTAACGGAAATTTGTAAGCTTGTGGTTTTTAAGATGACTTATTGAGTACAAAAATAACGCATAATTCCAGCCTAATTATTTTATTAGAACACATCTCATCATTGAAGTCATTTGTAAAATTCGTTATGGTCGATTTATCATGAATGAATGACTTTATTCCGCTTCGTTATCCCACAATCTCCTGAATATCTCCCTCGACACTGCAAATTGAAGAAAAGAAGTTATCTTAATTTTCAAGTCTGAACCGCAGTAATTATTCAAAACCGTTTCACAATGATGATTTTCTACAATTGTTGCACGTGCATTGTCAACTATGTTGCCAGATCTTGCCCAGACGTTAGAGGTTCAACGATAGAAATATCATGAGACAGTTGGGCCATAGAATCATATATATTATCTGGTATTTTGTATCACTCCAGTCATATTGGATGTGAATCCCACATAGGAAAAGAAACTTTGGATTGCGTAATGTAACCAATTTCCACCCAGTGAAAGACATAACACGTCTTTATTGCAACTCATTTCTTCCTTCGTTCATTTGCAAATGGAATGCACTATACATCAAGATTGGTAAAAGCGACTCAATTGTAATATCCATTAAATAATAACTCTTGTTCCCAGACAACTGTATTGGCATAAACTTTAAATTTCAGACTCTATCCTCGACATGTGACAAATTCTAATACATTTAATAAACGTTTATTAACGAAAAATATATGATCTACTGTTTTTTTGTTCACGGAAATAGTTCAGTCCCACACACCACACTACATTATAGACAGCTCTGGTGGCATAGTGGTTAGAGCGTCCGCCTCAGATGCGGGTGGTCGTGGGATCGAACCCCGGCGGAGTCATACCAAAGACTTATAATAATGGAACTAACAGCTGTCTCTCTTGGCGCTCTGCGTTAAGAGCTTAATGTTAGAACTGGTAAGCCTGGTGTCAGGATAATGTGACTGGGTGGGACATTATGCTACATGTCTGCATCATGATGTCCTTGTGATGGACATCACTATAAACTGTCACAATGCAGACATCCTAGCAATGTTACTGAAAAATTGTTAAAGCCACGTTAAAATTCAAATTCCACACATACACAAAAACAAAATTATAAATAGCTTCTTTGATGTAGATACAACGCCTTCTTATGACGCAAACATCGTATGCTATATGACGTTAAAATACAATAAAAACGTCATAATGATTACACACACATTGCTAATACGCATGCTGTAAACATCAATTATCTTATTGCCCAGAGGATGTTAGTCGATTCTGCGAAGGATTCTCTCTATAAAATGTGATGTTCATACGCAATCTCGTTTATTTATTCTTCTCCTACATCTTTCCACCTTTTCTTCGAAGTATGTCAATACAGTGTACTTTCATCTTTAGAGGAATTTCTCATTTTATATTTCATGTCATTCTCATCTTTCACGAATTCCTTTGTTTCCTTCTTTGTGCTACCACTTCGGTGGCCTAGTAGCTAGAGCGGCAGGCTCAGATGCTGAGGTCGCTTGATCGAACCCTGGTTAATTCATACCAACGATTTATGTAAACTAAACTAGTACTAATAGCTGCCTAGCTTGGTACTGTGAAATAAGAGTCTAGTGGTAGGACTGGTCAGCCTGTTCTCAGGATAATGTGACTCGTTACATGTCTGCGGCATGACTCCATCTTGTTTGACATCACTATAAACTTCCACATTGAAGACATCGTAGCGATATCACTGAAGCGTTGTTGAAGCGCTACATTAAAAATCTAAACACACTCACACAAACGCATATTTACCCTCAATATTGTACATATAGTAATCTCTATTTACAAATTTATGTAATAAAAATTGTGTCTACACTAAGTTGAAAAAGCAGTTTTGAAAGAAATAAAGATTGCTCACAAAGTTTTCAACATATATGGACGAAATTAAGAATAAAATGGACGCCAGTCAATTTGTTTTCGTCTCACCTCGCCTCGCATATTAAACCATGCCTACTGTCACAAGGATAATCGTTGTATTGGCCGTGATTTCCGCTAAAGGCATTCATCAGCTCCAAACAGTGTTCCGTGTCTCCGGTATTATCAGGCTGTCCCGGGTACCAGTTTGTATACACAATAGGCTTTGATACTCCTTCTCGTCCCATCCACCGCCATTCGTTCTCGGTCAGTATGTCGGATCCGTCTATCCAGTGATGCACATCCTTCGTGGGTCCTGTGAATAAACACAATATACATAGCAATACAGAGACTTATTTTATTTTGACCTAGCTGTTTCATTGTTTGTTCCTTGGAATAAAGTCTACTTAGGAGGAGTTAGGCTGCAACAATGGCGACCGAATTTACCTGCATAAGAGAAGGAGTGGAGTTTGAGCAATTTAAAACAGACGTGTGTTCCATCCATGACACCAACCAACCAACCAGCCTAACTATCCCCAATCGCCGCAAAGGAAATAGAACAAAAGCACTGTATTGGTTATAACAGAAAAGGATATAGCTTGATCATGGATAACGATATTTTATGTCATTCTGCTTCGAGTTCGTACATTACGACAATTACTATCGGCACACTGCCATTTTGCTTCTGTCAAACGGAGGATATCCCGCGTTTACACTTTTAGCGGAAGCGAGTCTTTGCATTTAGATGTCTAAAACTGATATGTTTTCATGTCAGAGTACCGACACAGCACGACTTGGGTATTTAAATAACGTGTACATTACCTTCGAGGTCGTTTTGTTGTAACTAAGTAAATTACACACCGGGTGAGATTTATAATTAGAATATCTATGTCGTGATTACTGAAAGGGCAACTATGTTCATTTCTTTACGTCATAGAGCATTTTAACTTTCAACATGTATCAACCAGTAAGCTTTAACCCTCAGTTTGGTATGGGATTCTCTGGACTTTTCTGGACTATGTTATGTAAAGTGACACGATTTGTTTGAGGACTGCGTCACATTTTTCCAAGGTTGGAACACAAGTGAAATTTTAAGTCACATATATAATGAACACAAGTCATTAGACTACGAGATACTAATAAATAAGGAAATAAACAATAATAAACTAACTTTAAAAAAAGTTTACTATTGAGCTAAGTCGTTTTCTACTAGGACTAAAGGAAGGAATGAAGAAAGCTAGAAAATTGTATTAAATCAGCGATATATAGTTTTCAAAGTGCTCAAAATGTTTTGGATAAAAGTTAAGCACATACAGATCAACCAGAGCTAATTATCCATACAAAAATTAATAGCACAGTAATTAACTCACTACCTCAGTAGGCAGTTAAATAGCTAACAAGCTAAATTCTTGATAGCTATATTAAAATCAGAAAAATATAAATTCGGTGAAACACATCATTCTAAGTGACACCCAAATACGGAGCCTCCAATCACTTAATTCGTTAGGCAAGTTATCACTATCATTTTAAACCATCTCTTTCAATACCAACACAAGTGCATGGCAGAATTGGCAAGTACATGATAATGTTGGAATTAATGTAATGAGAGGGACGCACAGCTTACTTCGAGTGCAAGAGGCATACTTCCGTCATTTTTGTATGTTGTGCAATTGCTTTTCAAACATGCACGGCAAGAAGAAAAAAAAAATAATAAACAGCCAGTGAAATGCAAAGAACGAGCCGATATGCGGTCATATTAGTGCTGAGTTCATGTTCAATAGAGAGCGGGGTGTTCACTCATCAAAGATAAATGAAGCATTGTTTGTGGCAGGCGCTAATTGTCGAGGGCGGGGATGTTTTGTGTCCTGTTGGCAGAAAAGATATGAAGCTTAACAGAAAAAAGAACTCTTTAAGTGGCTAGAATGTTTCGAAAGAAAAGTATGGCCTCTTGAGATTGTATTGGCACTCAGCTGAAATAACTCATCAATAAAGTTACTATTTAATTTGTACTTGACTAACTCTCAAAGAAGATCAAAGACGACACCGTGAAGAAGGTACTTGAAATCAGTAAAGAGGTTGACATATTGGGGAGAAACATGGAAAATTACAAGTGAACCTATAGGTATTAGAAAGTCACCACAAGTTCTGGCCTGCAGGCCAAGAATAAGTATTTAAGAAAATATATGCAGTATAGATGTCAGCTCGAAACGAATCTGCAGAAACGTGGGCGGAGATGGTCGTCAATTTAATGAATAAGAAAGTAATGATTGTGTGTGTGTGTGTTTGTGTCTGTGTGTGTGTGTTTGTGTGTGTGTGTGTGTGTGTAAACATGCCCATATATTCTGTTAGAAAAGTACTTTGCATGAACAAACTGTGCTGCAAAATGGCAACGATGCAAAAATTACCATTCACTGATCATTAACTTATCTCTCTTTACTATTCCATTCATTGTAAGATATTTTATATAGGTCTGGATGCATTAATAGGTTAAGAATGCATGTCTCTGTATACTGTGCTGCTTCCCGTGGTATGCCCACTTGTTTAATTATTTGTCAATAGATATACAGCCCAGATCCAAGCCAATCGTATTGTCCTGGCAATACGTAGTTTATTGTGGCTTCATGAAATACTTAATATCTTTATATGTCTATGAAAAAAGTGAGCATATGGATACACTAGTGTGTGTACTTATGAATAGATTGTTGAATAACTCTATCTGTGCCTACATAGATGGACGAAAGGAAGACTACGTCCTTAAAGTGGAAATGTTCGAATATGAAAATACTACCCTGCAATTTACATATGTGCTTGTACTATTTGACACTTTTTATCTCATCTGTGTATCAATGTCTCTATGTTTATTTCCACTTAATATATAGGAACATGAAATAAACCAATAAATTTAAATCATAGCTAATATGCTCCAGATATAAATATATGTAGGAATGTGGAAATAATAAAATAACAGCATACTAATAATCTCACCAAGAGACTAACATATATCAAATTCATTTCATAATTTACTTTGTATAGTGTGCATAGTACAGAAAATAATTTTACCTACATAATAAATGTAATAAATTCCGATAACCAAGATTTTAGAAAAAAAATTAATTGCAAGACAAGATATTTAACTACTAACAGAACAGACTTTATATCTACTTTCATGTCAGTTTGTCTCTCTGTCTATCCAACAGCTGTTTAAAAAAAGTCATTTTGAAACTCAGTCAGAGTATCATCCTCTACGAATAATGTGAACATACCATGAATTCGCTCTATTATTCCCTTGATTATAGCGTGTTCGTTTGCATCATCAATAGCGGCCAGATCTCCACCAATGACAGAGCAATAGACCTATCAAGAGAAAAATGATTTATGAGTCTCATTTTATTGTGATCTCCACTATTTAGGAGAAAAGATAATTTTGATACGGAGCGCATTGAACTGTGAAAGAGGTTGATGAGAAATACTAATTCCCAGTAGGCTCAACTGAAATGCATACGTTGTAAATACAGGAAACTAGATGGACTTTATTTAGGTTTTGCTTTGATTCTACAAAAGAAAAAATGACTTGTGTTTTAAAAGATATATCACAACTAATCAAGATGAATCAAAGAAACTTTTATTATGTGATGAATGTGGAAACTGCGTCTTTGTGTTTGGATTTAACATGTGTATCATATGGTACACAACCATCCAAAAAGTCCATCAATATATAATCAACCCTAGGGAAAACATACCTTACAGATAAAGCCAGACTTCACAGTCATGCATCAGTATTATTACAAATATAGACGGAATAAATTTATCCATTTTGAGCAGTCTCATCTTGGTATCAGTATATCACACGAGCAAATTGCCTAATATTATATCCCGTTGTAGTTTCGAATAAAAACATTATTCTCTCTCTCTCTCTCTCTCTCTCTCTAGAGAGAGAGAGAGAGAGAGAGAGAGAGAGAGA